ACTACGTACGTAACGTAAAGAAACGAAGGACGAGTAGTATCTAGTAGTAGTAGTTAGTTTACTTACTTTACTTACTACCTACTTCTTCGTTATACGTAACTACTATATATATATATATATATATATATATATATATATATCAAGCCCTATGTCATTTTTCTCTCTACCTTAAACGTCTGAATCTCTCTGTCTCAAACCCGACATCCTTTGCTCTCTATGACTTAAACCTCCTAATCTCTATCTCTCTCTCTCTCAAAATAGTAGAGTTCATCTCTCTTTACACCTACCCTCTCTATCTTCTCCCTTAAACCCAATCTCTCTCTCTCTCCCTCCCACCCAGCTGATTGTTTTTCTTACATGAAACTTTGCAACTTTCTTAGTCCACTTGGTATCTTCGTTTATGCTTCTTTACAAGCAGGAGCATATAGTAAGATCCATGTGGTCATGACACTATCCTGACCAATTTTCACTCCCTTATGTTCCCTATCTACAACGCACGAGAGCATTCAAAGAAAGATGAAATCAAAATTTCATTTTGTCTACCAAAAGTACTAATGATGCTATTGGATGATTATAAGTAATTGTGATATCCTTGTATCAAAGGTAAATGATATCATTGTGTACAATCCAGTTGAAAAAAAATCAGAACTAATGGTACTATGGGATGGTTATAAGTAAGGAAAAAATTTATATACAGCCGAGGCTCTAAACAATCAAATTAGAGCCAAAAAATATACTTGAAGAAGTTGTTTTGATGCTCAAATATTCTCAAATTGATCATCTTGACATCAAGATGCATGGACATTAAAAAAATGGATTTGTAGTTTTACAAACAGTGCATCTTGTAATACATTTTTGGACAGTCAATTTTCAAGATTTTAAAATTTTCATAGATCTGCTTGATCTACAATATTTTTGAAGATTTAAAATTTATAATTAGAGATGAAAATATATTTTAAGGCTATCATAAAGATTTTCAGTATTGAAACCACATTTATTAACACTATTTGAAGGTGGGTTCTACTTTTATTGTTTACTTTGATTGTTTAGAGCTTCAAACCTATACAAACCGCAGTCTATAAGTAATTGTGATCTTCTTGTATCAAAAATTAATAGTATCATTATATACAATCCCATAGAAAAAAAATCTAAGTTGCGCTTCAAACGAAATTATCATTCTACCTATCTTGAAATGCTCCCGTGACTTCAGATAAGGAACAGAAGGGAGTGGAAATTAGTCAGGATATTATCATGACCACATGGATCTTACTATATAGTCCTGCTTGTAAAGAAACATAAAACAAGAGGATACCCAAGGTGGACTAAGAAAGTTTCAAAGTTTCATGTAAGAAAAACAATCAGCTGTGAGAGACAGAGAGAGAAATTGTGGCAATGGATTCTATACAATGAGATAATCAGATTGTTATCTTAGTAATGATAAGTACATTTGTTCGATGTAATATATCATGGCTGGGGTGCAGTACTTTTTTTTACAAAGTCTATGAAATAATTTTTCAAAGGAAAAGTGTTTCATGAGTCATCTTTAGTTGTGTAAGATGAACCTCCACAACTAAAGATTCCTACCCAATAGATAGGAAATTTTTTTTTAAAAAAGGTTTAAAATTTCATTTTATGCTATTTTATTTTTTATATTTATGATCATCATAGTGTAGATCATGGATCTCCACAAATTAGATACAAGATCTATATCAAAAATAGGTGTTAGAGGGAGCCCACATGAGAATAATATGAGTCAGGGGACGCATAAAAATCAAGTCCATTTTCAAAACATAAAAAATAAATCAATGACATATTCCTTGCAACCCGATTTTACATCTAAGGGCTATGGAGTGATTGTAATATTTTTGTACCCAATGCTATATGGTATACAGATGTCTGCTTTGTCATGAGCGTGTTCATCTCGACCATCCATCATTTTGAATAAATGGTCATTAATGTGGCACAATTTATCTCTAATGCATGTATCATAGTATAAGATTTCTTAACAGTAATTAAAAATTGGCCTAGTTCATGTGGTACCTATCCGAGTTTAAAACCCCCAGGTTTTCCCGGTTTCTACCACATATCATGACTATTTTGTTCTTTAAATTTTTAATATGCAAAGAACCTAGATAAATATGATCCGATTTAGGCAATTCCGAGTCAACGCACACTCGGTGACTGATTAAACCTCCATTTATGAAATAATGCTCCTTGATAAATGCTAAAAGTTTTTTAAAATGAGAAAATATCTTTGTATTTTTTATTTTTAAATTTTAATTTTTAATAGACTCTAAATTTTTAAAAATATCTTCTAACGTAAATTACGTTAAACTTATTTTTTAATTTAAACTTATTTTTTAATTTAAACTTATTTTTTAATTTAAATTACGTTAAACTTATTTTTTAACTTAAACAAATGTGAGAATAACATTTTAAACATATCTTTTAACTTCAAATGTGAAAAACACATACTAAATCTAAACACAATTTTTTTTCTCTTTATATACCACAAACTGCTTCCTTTCTCTCTCTTGGTGTGCCTTTCACTCTCTCTCCCCG